GGAAGAGGCGTGTACTACAGAGTATATAGCTAGAGCCTGCGGCCCTCCACGCCACATACCCTTCGGGAGGTCTGCCGCAAGGGCGGCCGCGCCCTTGCCGCCATGGCGTTAAATATTAAACAAACAAACAAACAAACAAACGATGAACTTGCCAGAATCCGGTATTTATCAGCGTGGGCGATCACAAGACTGTTCGAGATATACGGTCACAGCCTGCTCTCACTACTTCTAATGATTCTATTCATTCTGGGCATTACTTTGACCCGCCAGGATAGAGGATCGGGTAGCTTCTGCTTCGAGCCAGCTCTCTCAACTACACAAGCCATAATCACATTCGACACTGTTTTGACAACCATCGTCGGATTCCTCGCTGATTTTTGGATCTCCATTGCACTGTTTGTAGCACACACCGAGCCATTAGCTCGCATGAACACCCCGCAAACGACGACTTCGACATCCAACGCAGCGAATGGCTCTATGCAACGAAACTTCCTGGCAAATATTAAATATAATCTAAAGGCGCAATCCAACAAGAATACTGCAAAGCACACGCTGCTTCTCAACTACACTTGCTCTGCAGCTCCGAAAAGATTTCTTTCCGCCTGCCAAAACAAGCATTGGAAGGTTGCAAGAGTATCTGTCTGGGCCGCGCTAATCCGCCTTATGCCCACACTAGTTGGCTCCAGTATTACAGTGTATCACTACATTACCGAACCGAATACCTGTCTTGTGTGCTTCACCAAAGAACTCTTCATCGTCAGCATCATTGGGTTTGCGATGTGTTCTGTTCTGATACTATTTGAGGTGCTGAAAGATCTCCGTTCTCGCCGCATGCCTCGGGATTGGCTCACCATTGGAGACCTGGTGTCATGGGCATCCACAAGTGATCTGTTGGGTGTTCCCCGCACAACGTCATCGGGAAGTGACAATGACTCACCGTGGAAAGATCCGCTCGATGTGGCTGTGGATGGCGAAAAGGGAAAGCAGTGGTACATGCAGGAGCGATTGAAACTGCAGTTGAAGAGATATTGTCTTGGCTACAGCAAAGTTCCGGGAACGGGACATCACGCCTTTGGCATCAAAGGATACGTCCATTACGATGTCGATCATGAAGCAGAGCAGATTGAACAGCTGCCACCTGTTAGGGTGTCTGGTCTGTTGCGGAGATTGACGCCAAGCAATTTGGATACCGAGAGTCGTTCTGCCCATGCCGCCCCCCTGACAATTGTGATGCGCAACATGTCGCACAAATTCACAAGAGTCGATACTTCGGAGTACACAAGATACAAGATCAACGACCATAATATAGTAAATACGCAGAATCAGGAGCCCAAGCCGGCTGACGAAGTGAGAACGGCACAAGGAGAAGGGGACGCATTCGAAATGCAACAATTGCCGGAGTCAGAAATTCAACAAGACCGATAGCGATTGCATAGTTATTAACTGCCTTCTTCTTGGCTTCAATCAAAGTCATTGATCCACGGTTCCAGCAACTCAAAGTCATCTTACACAACTTTGTTTCGCGATTGGTCCTGCCAGCTCAAAATGGCTTTGTGCTTCATGTTCTCGATTGGGCGTAAATCTTACCAACTACTCGCCATTACTACGGGGCATTGCCTTAGGAGGAATGTTTTGATGCGGTTTGCTGAGAAATTGGCGACGATCAGGCAAACAAAGATATACACAATGATTAATCAAGGAGTCTTGCTAGTCGGGCAGTGTCCACACACACGTGTGTAATCCGTAGCCTGTTTCTAAAGCGACCAAATTTCCTATTCTCGCATTTCGTCGTCTATTCTTATTATCGTCGTCGTCGTCGTCGTCTTCTATCGTCGTTATCCTTGATATTACTTCCATCATTCTCTCTATGATTGCGGACAACAGGGGACACTGCCTGACTAGAAAATCTCGATCAAAGATGTTGCCAGAATTTCTACAAGACTAATGAAAGGGTAACCATTTTCAAGTCAGGAAGAGAGCGAGAAGACGAGGAGGTCACAAAACATTGGATGGTTGCGCAATCTGATACCATTGTGAACAACGAAGGAGCATATGAAATTTGATTCATGTTCATCTATTTCTTACTTTAATGGCCGCTGCAGCCGCTGACGCTGAATAAATGCGAGTGAATAGAGTTTCTAGGAGTTATTGTAAACGTCGTCTGAAGATACGAATCAAGCAGCCATGTTATACTAGTCGTTCGGATGAGACGAGATCACCCGGTGTCAGTTAAGATTGGACGATCTACAAGAGTGCGGCTACCAGAGTGAACTCTGCGACGATGTTTCGCAGTGCTGTAAAAGTAATGCACTAGTCATGGAAACAGAGTTAAGCTGAGGATTTTGAAGCAAACTTTCATGGGCCTCTGTTCCCCGCTTCGTTCGCCTCGTTTATTCAGTTCTCTTGAGTTGTTTATAACTTCGGGATGATCTCTTTCTTGCATAGAAAAGTTGCACCATTGTTCATTCATTCCTCGATCACGGCCAGGTCATATGACTTGGGAAGAGGACGAAAGATGCGTGTCCTCCTGCTTCTGGCATTGAGCACTTTAGCTGCTTTAGGTTCCTCAGCGCCTGACATTTCCGGCCTAAACTGGCCAGCAAATAGAGCATTGCCGCTGTTCCCGGATGCTGCAAAAGAAATTGAATACGCCAAGCTCACGGCACTATCCGGCGAGGAGCAGATTCTCCTTGTTTCTCTGCAGGGGCTGGTGAACCGGCGCCAACCACGCTTATACCTTTACTGGTCACCAGACTCTTCGAACTCCGACGATGAAGTCAACGAAGCTTGGCTGCGGCAAATCGAAGGTCAAGGATTCAAAAGTGCCGACGTGACAAGTGACCCCTTTCGACTGGTCGACAAGTACAAATCTGACATTCGCGGGGCCATCGTCTATGACACGAAACTACCAGACACGATCAATCTCGCCTCGACACTGGCGGGCCTCTATGGAGCCGTGATAGCAAGCGAAGAGCTGGCGCGCCGCCTCAACCTATCCATCATTGAGGATTTGAGAGGGCGCTTCAAGGATAAATACGAGTTGTACGAGTACGCAGCCCGGAGCGTGTGGCCCAAAGTCACGGATCGTCTCATCACAGCGATCAAACCTATCTCGACTGTGTTGTACGCAAACAGGACCTGGGAAACTCTTCTGAAGGCCAAATCATCCGTTACGGATAGCTCCAATAACGGCACTTACACTGCCGACCTATCCCGGTTTATCAATCGCAGTAATTCTGTTTACGTCAATATTACGGATGCCTTCCCTGCCGATGGGTTTGGTCCTTCGGTCTACCGAGTCCAGGTCACAGCAGACAACCAGACCGTGGCCGACTTCCGACCTGGCGACGAGGCAGAGGACGCTTTTCTATTTGACGATGGCGGCTCTCACTTGGCCGACTACCCCGGAGGCTGGCGTTTTGCAGACGGCTCAGCCGCGATGATTCATAAGTTCGACTATCCCAGACGAGCCACTCAGTTGACGCTCACCTTGTCGATGTGGAATCAGTACCTGGTATCCGCATCGGCAGACAGGCCGGGGTACCAAAAGGTCAACTCGATATTTCGCGACTACATTGTCGGCACCGCGGCTCCGTGTATCTGGCTGGATAGCAACAGGCCGCGGGAGGCGGCTCTGCTGGACAAGCTTCTGCGTCAGTTCCAGCCCAACGCAGCTTACCTTGGGTGGTTCCCCAACGGCGATGAGATGACTGGCGTCACGCAACTGGCCAAGAATGGCATATACGTCGGTGCGGCGGACTTTTACTTCAACCCGACGTTGTTCGGCGGGTTCAGATCGAAGGACCAAGCGGAACAGTCTACGCCAAAGGAACAACCAGCAGATCAACCAACGGAACCATCGAAAGACCCATCAAAAGACCCTTCGAAAGATCCGTCGAAGAGTCCACCAAAACAGCCTCCATGGGGCATTCCGCCACGAAAACTCCCCAAAGTCTTCCTGTCCCTAGTCTACCTCGAAGGCGACAACCTGCAATACGACCAACGAGCCATGTTCACCCACTGGAACGACCCGGAAAGGGGCTCCGTCCCTCTCGGCTGGACAATCAGCCCCCTCCTTCGCGACATCGGGCCCGGCATCCTCTCGTACTACCAAAGAACTGCCACCAAGAACGACTTGCTCATCGCCGGGCCCGACGGCGCAGGGTACACCTACCCGGGCGTCTGGCCGAAGAGGGCTCTGTCCGACTTCCTCGCCCAAAGCGGCGAGTACGTGCGGGAGACGCGGACTGATAGCGTCTTGTTCGTGTACGATCGCATCAACGCTACCGACAACCCGTTGACTCCCGAGCTGACGCTCGCGTTTCAGAATGCTGTGGGGAAGCAACGGCTTCGGGGGATCCTGTACGGGTCGTTTGTCTCTACACTGGAGGCGCTGCAGGTAAATGTTACCGAGGCGTTTCCAGTTACGAACATGGTGAGCATTGGGAACGAAGACAGCGGCGCTGCGACGTTGAAGAACATCTCGGATAGTTACAAGGGACGCGGTCCTCTTTTTGTAGCCGGGGCTGTGAGTGCCTTTGATGTGACGCCGGCGAGTGTCAATAGCATGGTGAAGAAACTGGGCGACGACTTTGCGGTTGTCAGACCGGATATGTGGTTTGATCTGCTGAGAAGGAGAGAAGGCCCCGGATGGCCCGGCCCGGAGTGGCCTCGGCCTCCGTGATGAAAAGGATCAGTCAGCTACTTACACGCATCTCAGTACATTTCAACGGCTGGCTTTGCCTGATGAGAACTTGTGTGAAATGGAAGCCACTATGAACTTTGTGTGAGGTGACAAACTTTTAGAATTAGATGCATTGGGCACATCTGCTGCTGTCAATCAGGTCTGTCGTAGATACCTTACAAGGGTCTAATGCCCAGCGCAATCAGACGGACTGATCATCGAACCTCCTGAACAAAGTATCCAACTCCTTCATCCTCACCAAACCATCCTCAATCCCCGGCCAATTCTCTTTGCCAGCAAGCTTCCCATTTTCAAACCACGCCGCGAACCTTTCATACATCTCCCCAACGTTCCTTGCCCTCACGGGCAACTCCTCCTGCCAGTCTTCCCACTCCCACTCAACCACCTCCACAACATCCCTCTGATGGTCATGAACCCTGATCCCGATCGGTTCGTCGTATGAATCCGAATGCAGATATGGCCCAGCCGGGCTCTCAACCTCCACCTCCCCCTTCTCCCCCACAATCCTCCACACCAACCCCGGCCGGCCCTTAAACGGCGTCCCGTTCCGGAACCTTACAGCCAACGTCGCCCCCTCGACCGTATTTCTTCCTTTCAACGCGCCGTGCACCGCAATGAAATCAGGCACGTCAGATCTCACCATCCCCTCCTCCTCATCCCCGATAAGCTTCAAATGAGCTCGCTGAATCTGCATCCGACTCTCCCAGCCCTCCTCAAACTCCCCAAGAACATGGTGCACGTAGTCAACCATGTGCGCGAACGCGATCGTAACAGGATTCCCGCCCACCCTCCGCTCCGCGAAATACGCCAGCCCCGCGGGAAGTTCGTCACGCCCCAGCAGATTCCCGTACGCCTCAACGTCGCTTCCCAACACCCTCCCTATCCTCCCAGACTCCACGACCTGCTTGATCTTCAGCACGACCTTGGCAACGCGCCCTTGGAGCCCGACGATCTCGCCTCCACCGCCCTCCGCAGCCAACGAAGCAAGCTCCTCCGCGCTGTGCAGATTCTCAGCCAGAGGCCACTCGATGTAGACTGCCTTACCCGCTCTAACGGAGGGAGCTATGAGGGATGAGTGCGTATCGACGCGCGTGCAGCAGACCACGAGGTCGACATCAGGATCCTGCGCGAGGAGCTCGGGGTCGCCGTAAGTTTTGACATTATCTGGTAGGCAGAAATGCGAGCGGGCTGCTTTGGCTGCGTTCACGCCGGAGTTGAGAAGCGCGACGACGGCGTAGTGCTGCCGGCCGCGTGGGGAGAGGAGGTATGGGAGGTGAGCTTCCGCGGCCCATGATGTTTTCGCGCTGGCGGATAGGCCGATGAGGGCGATGCGGATGGGCGCCATTGTATCGAAAGATGGGGACGTTTTAGTGTACATGTTTCATTGGAATGGTTCTAATCATACGCATAATGGCCGCAAAAGTCCGTCTTTTAATATCCTGAACGGCATTCAATTTCCGCTCGAAAGCCTGGTGCCAATCCGCGATTCATCGCGCACGAGCACATTATAAATCGGACCTTTGTTCCTATCCCAAATCACCATTTGTCATCTCGCCTACGATCGCGCTGTCTCTGGCGCTGACGTTCCAACTAGGGGGACATCATGATGCATTCTACTCCAACCGGCCTCGAAGACCCACTCCTTGCCGTGCACATCCCCACATCGGCCCCGATCCATCGCAGATCCCCGGCCCCGGCCCGGCCCAGATGCAGTGCCCTCACCCGCATCTTGAGAAACCACCAAGCCCACCATCCATCTCCGATAATCTACGACAACCTTCATCCGAAACACCCCAAAGCCGGAAATAGAAACGCCGTCAAACACACTCATCCCAAGCCCACTTCCCGCCCTCGCAGCGGCGCCACCGCGCCTAGCATCTGCACCCTCCCGTCCGTCGCATCCGATGGAGGCCCCCCCTCAGCTGGACCTGAACATCTTTGCTCACATCTCATTTCTCACAAAACATCACACTTCAAGCATACACATCCGTCCCGAAGATGCAAGAAGCACAACGCATCCAAAGGATAGCCCACATCCGCAAGGTCCGTCCCGAAGTCCGATACCCTTCCCTTCTTCTTCTCCCGCGGCAAAGCCTCAGAAAGACGGCGGCGACCTGCATGACACCAGTCTCATCCAAATCGAAAACCCCCCTCCTCTCCCCCCAACCCCGAAATCCCCGCGCTGGCTGCACTTCCCCGCCATCCGATACTCCCCCTCCGCGTCCCCAAAAACGCCTCATTCTCATCCCGCGCCGCCACATAGTGCAGTCCCCCCTCACAAGGCTTCCAGACAACTCAGAGATGTGATGTAGGTCAGAGGGAAACCCGCATCAGCCTCAGCCTCACATCCATCCCCCATACGTATGCGCCAGCGAGAATCACGGCGACCCGCGTCTGAAACAACCGTGGCGCCGAATGGGAAAATCGACCTACACCTCCAGACATCTAACCTATGCTCTCCCGCGCCAGTACACGTCGCGGCTGCATCTGACACTTTGAACCCCCCGTCCCCAGCTTCTCACGGAACGGACAAAAACGCTGCTGCCGGCTGCAATGCGGGCGCAGCTCTGTCAGCGGCAGATGAGAACACGGGAAGAGCAGGCGTGCTTGAGCCCCCCTTTCCTCGGAGAGTAAAACTAACAGCCACCGGTTGGGTGATCGACAACGTTGCATTCTGTCGCGATCGCGACGCGTTGGAGGAGGTAGACAGGCTGGCAGTCTGCCAAGTGAGGGGTTGGGGGAGAGACTGGGATGTCGTGTTTCCCCAACCGCGACGTGCTTACCATGACCAAGGCAGCGCCGCTCATCATACGAGGGGCGAAGAAGATGGTGTGAACAAGTGTCGATACGAAAAGATGATTCACATGAGAAGAGACACGAGGCAGGTGATTATCAAGTAGTTTTTGTTATTTCTGGGCCATTTTGCAGGCTCTTACTACAAACACTCTCGGCGCAAGACCGGAGGCTGTGACCAAAGCGGGCACAGCTGAGCTCGACTGCCTGTCAACGGCCGTCGAGCTCTTTCAAGAAAGAACAACTCTGTACAAGATGGCCGGGCTCGGTCCAACCGTAGCACCAAGCCTCGCTCCTGTGGTACGCCGAGTAAATCCACAAAACAACAGGCAGCCACTCTCCCGTGGGCCTGGACTGTAACTCCGGCTGGGTTTTCCCCCAGGTCTAAGATCGTTTTGCCTCCCTTTTTTGAACACCTCCCAGTGGCTCCATATGTTCCTCCCAGTGACATGGAGAGCATCTACAGGCCTCAAGCGCCGCCAAGGGCGCTCTGCTGCTCTAGACAATACGTTTTTTAGACAATAGATAAAAGACAATAAGATTTGGTGCGGTCCGACTGGGGACCTTTCTAGGTGAAGGAAAGATCGTAAAAACAACGCGAGATTCGTGAGGTGTCGTAAGAAACGTAGCCTAGTCGAGGCGTGGTGGTCAAGGAGTGACGAAGGTGGGTATCTCGTAAAGAACAAGCGTTGAAAAAGAGTAGAGATCGCCGATGTCAGCGACCTACGATCGTCATCGTTGTTTCGAGGGCATTAATCGTAACAGCAGATCAGCGAACCCCTGGGCTCGCGTCTGAAGTGCCCAGCTTCAGGATCTGTATTTGACGAGGACCTGTGCTGGAGGTCGCCTCACTTTCGGAGGCCAACCTTTCCAGCCAGGTTGCGCCAGAATCGACTGCTCTTGCGCTCCTCGCTTCCAGCGCGGATCATCTTCGTGTCGCGCTCCATAGGTCCGACAATGTCCTCGTCTCCGCGCTCTGGGAACTTGCCCTCGGCGTCGACAAGGCGAGGCATCGTGGTTGGCAGGCCGTCCTCCAAACGCCGCCATTGCTCACTAGCAAAGACATCGTCGTTGGTGGGGCGGCGCAGAATGGCAGAGCCGCCGCTGCCCGCGCGACCGCGCCCACGGCTTCGGCTGCGGGGAGCTTCAGGTCGCTGAGCGCTGGCCTTGCTGCCTGCGACAATGCGCTCCATCGTCTGCTCGTGGAAAGCGCGCCAGCTCTTCTCAATCTCCGACCACTTTGCCTCAGTGAGGGCGTAGATCTTGGAAGTCTCGCCGTAGTTCTCGCCGGTTCGGACGAGGTGCTTGGTGTAGTTAACACGAGCGGCTTCCCAGTCGGCGCGCAGAAGACGGAGTGACTCCATGTTGGCCTCTTCAGGTTCGTATGGTTGAGGTGCAATGCTAAAGTTCGCGTGACCAAGCCGGTCTGACCACTCATCATGGTCTTGCAAGATGGATGGGAAGCCAATGGGCAGTTCCTGACTCGACTGAGCGTGGCGGAAGGAGGAGACCGAGGGCCTCGTGCTGAGAGAGGGTGTCACAACGTGGGCCAATGACTGAGTTGAGGGAACGTCCATAGACAGGATGGTTGGTGCGACTGTGGGAGACTGGAGAGGGCTAGGCTGCGGGACTTCGGTTGGAGGCGTGTTGAGGAGAGGAGGGAGGAGAGGTGTCGAAGCCAGTGCGCGGTCGCGTTCAATGCTTTCCCTCTCGTTGGCCTTTTCGATGTCAATGGGAGCGGGGCCATCCACGCTCTCACTGCTTTCCCAAAACGAAGTCGCAGGGGTAGGGATCGAGGGCTCGTTCATGTGGCGGGAGGGCCCGGAGAGTGAAGACGATCGGCTCGACGCAGCCCTAGAGGTGACAGGGTGAGCAGTCTCAAACGTCAGCTCAGTCGTTGGCGAGGCAGTCAATTGCGACCGCTTTGTAGACTTCCACCGAGACAGTTGAGGAAAGCGGGTTCCGATGCGGGTAGCCAAGCCAGAGAATGGCGATTCGGTTCCGGTCCGCTTCCTCTCCAAAGTCGAAGAATAGTCGGTGTCGCTTCCAAAGCCCAGGTCGTAGTCAATGTCGAAGTCAGCAGGGTAGACACTGTGGAGCGTCTCGGCGCTCTCGTAACCGTGGTGGATGCATGGCTCATCACCTATTTCGCTGTGTTAGCGGACGTCCGTTTGCTCACGAGGCATGGGTCAATAACTTACACAAACAGTCGTAGAGGTCGAACTGCTCAGCTAGAATTGTGCTCTCGTCAAGCTCATCACGTTCTACAGGTTCCTCCTGCACATCCGGAAGAGGGCGCTTGGAGGACTTGGAATGGGAGGTTGACGTTGGTGATGCTGGGCTGTCATTGCAGCATGTTGGCGGGAGGTCAATTGATGATGTAGAGCTTGAGTAGCGGAGATGTCCGCGGGTCGAGAACGTTGGGGTGACGGGAGAGGCGACGTCGGATGATGACGAGTTTGCTGTGTAGTAGACATACTGGTGGTCCATTTCGGCTTCCGCAAGATCGGGGTGCTGTTCCTCGAACTTCCGGCGCTCTTCTACAAGCTGTGGGAGGAGTAAAGGCTTGAGTCTGGGCGACATTGTGTCTGCCGTGGCCTGGGGCTGCCCCGCCGAAGCAGAGAGATGCGTTTGAGGAAGGCGTGCGGTGGTGGAGGTGCGTGTTGGTGATGTTGTTGTTGGAGCAATGGGTGGCAATGGTCAGGATTTGGGGTGGCGGTTGGGGAGACCCAGCGAGTATGACGATGCCGGAGCCGCTGTGTTGTTGTACCCTGGCAGACGTGGTGGGGCAGGCGGAGGATTAAAAAATAGACACTGCGGTGACTGTGAGATCGGGCAAAGATGTGGTGCTCAGTTTTAGTCTTCTGTCATTGCTAGGCACACATCCGTTCTGTCGTTGTTGGTGAAGTTGTGTAAGGTTGCCGTGGTTCTCGTGGGGTGTTGGAGTTGTGACCGGATGTAAGTACTCTGTTGTTGCTGACGCCACTTTGGGTGTTTCCTGCGAACCGGTTCTCTACCTCCACATTCTTCGAGACGGTCTGGTTTCCAAATTTCCTCTCTTTTTCCACAGAACGTGTCGGTGTGATGTTTCAAGGTTAACCTCCGGGGTTGGTGATGGTCGTGACCGGTGACTGCGTGCGGAAGCTGGGAAAGGCTCCTGGGGTTCTCCAATGATGCGGTTCGAAGGTGCAAGCGACCGTTTGTGTATGTGGCGGTGACTCGTCCCACGTGTACGATTTGGGTGCAGGGTACCTCGGCGGTTTGGGTCGTGGTGGTTGGGCGCGGATGTGCTTGTACTGGGGGGGCGGGCAAGACTATGTATGTATATGCGTGCGTTGTTGTTTCCTTCAGTGCAGAGTCCTCCTCTTCCAATCAAACGGGAGTGCGCGGGACCAAATGCGACAGTTTCGCTGGTAGCTCCGGGTCTTGCTGCAGGATAGACACGTGAGGGGAATGACAGCGGTTGACGGGGTGCGGAGAGGCGAGGCAGTTCGCGACGGAGGCAGATTCCGGAAGCGGGAGGCGGTAGGTCGACGACGATATATGAGACGTGGGCGTGGTGGTTGCTGGGTTGGACGGCAGCAGCAAGGAAAAGAGGTCGGTCGACTGGCGGCGGGCTGGCGGTTGGCGACGTCTTGCCAGGAATGCTGCTGTAAGAGAAGAGACGACGGGAAAGACAGGACGGCGGGAAGAGGGTTCCCAAATGGTTTTGCAGCGCAAGGAGGGTGGGCGAGGAAAATGTCTGGACGAGCGTAGCCAAAAAAGCAGGAAGGGTAAGGTAGACGGGGCAAGGGTGTGAGCTTTTGGACAGGGGGGGTGGGCGGCCGAGTTGAGCGTGGTGGATGTGGGCTCGTTGGTGGGAAGACACCGAGCGAAGTGCGGGCAGGGGGGGTGGACGTGGTAAGGTAGGAAACAACAGAGGAAGGGACCGGGGGGGATGTGGTGGGCGCGGGTATGGATGTGGATGGTGCTGGTGCTGGACCGCTGTTGCTGGTGGATTGGACTTTCTCTTGTGGATGAAGGCCGGGAGCTAGGATGGGAAGAAGAAAAAAAAAGGCTTGGTGGGAAACCTTGCTGAAAACCGCAGCCTAACGAAGCTAGCCTTTGGGGGAAGGCAGACTGGAGACAGAGTGAGGTACTTGCTGGGTGCTGGTGAAGATAGGTGCCGATGGAAGTACATACACTGCAAACTGCGCGGGACATGACATGGATCGGGGGAGGAGAGATAGACTGTCCATTCTAACATTCAGTTGACGATGGAATACGTAGTGCATTCGTAGTTGCCGTTTGGCTTCAGATTGGCAAGGAGGGAAGAAAGGCACGTTGTTGATGGAAGGCAGGCACTGCAGGGTCACGTACTTGCCTATGTAAAACTGGGAAGGCACATTGCGTTCGCCGTGCAGCGGCAGCGGCTTTCCATTTTGGAGTGGACAGCGGCACATGCCCGCATCCCCTTGGTCTTTCTTTCTTTTTCCTGCATGCTGCGATGATTTTTTTTCTTTCCTTCTGGCCCGGGTAATGGGACGCTGGAAGGCAAGGTACAACGGTACAAGCAGCAGAGTGACGAGCCCCATCACCCCAGTCCAGTCCAGCCCGAGGTTGCTTGAGGCGAGGTAGCCAAGTACATACCTAGTATCCGTACACTCGAACTTCTTTACGCGCCAAACTAGCCCGACGACACTACCGTCCCCCAATGTTCCCTCAATCCCACGACATGACACACACTGAGAAAAAGGCAAGATGAAGAGAACCCACACTCGGTCGGCAGGATGAGGCGAGGGAGATGAAAGAAGGACAGCAGCAGACCAGCCTCAAGCCAAGCCGATGGACAGAGCGGCGGCGGGCGGGCGACGTCAACGGCAACGGGCGAGGAACAAGGGACGTGGAGTCATTTGCTCCAGCTTCCAACGCTCGTGGACAATGAAATGGGCACAGTTACAAGTCATGTCCGTTGGTAAAGCATACGAAGCGGATGGAAACTCGAGGCCGCGTCTTCGGGGAGCTCGGAAAGAATGCACAGTGCGAGAGAGGGCTCCTGCTGTTGCACTGGCGCAAGCCTCTTCTGTTTGTTATTTTTCTTTGTTTAGCTGAGAGTCGTCCCTCCTCCCTCATGATCCGCCGCCGCCGCCGCCATCGCCTCGGCTGTCTCAGAAGCAAAGAAGAAAAGAAGCAGGCTCTTTATTTTGGCCCCCTCGTCCGTTAAGCTTGCCAGACAACCTTCTGCAACCGCCTAGGCCCAAGGTAGCTTAAACCTCTTCCTGATGGTCCGTGTGCGCCGCCGACCAAGCGGTAGGCGCAGTGTGGAGGAGAGTGGAGGAGGCCCACGACGAGCGCTGGACCGCTGGAGTCTTCCCCCTCCCAGGCTCCTCCTCCCCAAGAGTCCACGAACGAGAGCCATGTCTTTCTCTGTGACCGACAGTCTACCTCCATCTTGTGCTGCCGAGTCTCTCGCTGCCCTCTGGGTCTTTCCCGAGGAGACAAGAGGGCCCAAGCCGTTCAGGGTCTGCGCGGTGCGTTGTGCCGCAGCCACGTTCCCTGGTCCGTGTCGAGCGTCTTTTTAGGGAACCCATGTGGGATGGGGACAGGCGCATTGTACGTACCGTACCTCCGTCCGTCTTTACCGTCATTCTCTGGGGGACGGAATTTTCAGAGGCCAGAGTCAGAGACTCAGACGGCACTCGGTGGTGGACCAACAGCGCCCGACAACGACCACGACGCCGTTGTCTTTCCCTGGGGCTGACTCCGGTTCCGACATTCAAGACACGACCGGAACGGATCAAGACAGTGGCAGCGTCAGCGTCAGCATGATTTGAGTTGCGGAATGTCTCTGGCCCGCCGCGGGGTGGGTTGGTTGTCGGCTCAACCTGCTTCGTGCTGTTTGAGCTTCTGAGCAAAGGCTGCCCGTAGCTCTGCAACGAGGCGATTCTCGAGCCAGCTGGTCTGCGTCACTGCTCTGCCAACCGCACGGCAGAACGCGGTGCGCACAGCTAGCTTGACTCGCATCTGACTACTCTTTTGCTACTTGCACGAAATACAGCGAGGGGCATTGGTTGAAGCACGTAAGGTCAGTAAAGCACCTAGGTACTCGAAAGCCATTAAGTACGTATTCGCCCATGTCTAGGTGTGCCATCCAATTGCCTTACACGATGACGCCGTCTGAAGAGCACAGAAGGCAGTCATCAAGATGCCGGACTTGCTTCGACGGCACCTTCATCTGGCACACGGCAAGCAGGAAGCAGGATGATGCCACTGGCAGGGCTTCTCAGACATTATCCTGCCGGGAGATTCACCCGTCAATCAATGAGGACATTAGGTCCAGCACCCAACCGACCGTCTTTTCTGCAGGACAATCTTGGACACGGCACACCCTCAGATGCATCTGCTACTGGGCGTGGCCTTCCAGTTTCCAGCAACGGCAACGGCAACGCTGCTGCAGCAGCGGGGACGGCTACCATTGGTCGCGGAAGGTGCAACGTGCAGAGTGCAGAAGGCAGCAGGCAGACCGCAGCAACAGCGACAGCAGCGAACAAAAGAAAGGCAGGTGCGTGCTGCAGCAGCAGCAGCAGTAGCAGCAGAGGGAGCGTGGGCAAACGGCAACAGCGCAGGGTTCAGGGTTGCCCAATACCTGGCCCGTTCTTTCCCCATCTTCTTTTGGGCCTGTTCCCAGCATTGCGCAATTGGCAGGAGCGACCACCCAAAGAGGACGGGAGGCAGGAAAGAGAAAGAGGCAGGCAGGCTCGGTTTCGTCAGTCACTCTTGCCTCATAAACCAGGTATTCGTAGGCCCTCGTAGATACCTTACCTTGGGTCTTCGGACGGGTGTCCGTCTTCGCAGGCGTTCGTTCGTCATTCTCACGTTGCAAGGCTTCACCCGCCCTCCGACTCCTCCCTCCTCCCTCTTTCCTCATCGTCAGCAGCGAACACAACTCCAAGCGCCATCTTCACTCGACCACCACCACGGCCGCCAACTCAACCTGCCGCACGCATCTTACCTTGCCTTACATCTCTGCAAAACCCTCCAGCTGCACCCTCCCGTCTCCATCGCTGGGGCATCGCAATCGGCCCTCTCCGCCATTTGCTTTTGCTTGTCGCTATCGCACCGCCTCTCCGTCTCCGTGGACGCTAACCCAAAATCCGTTTCGTTTCCCTCGCGGAGTCCAGGGATCACAGCTCGGTCGGCACCTTGCTCTCCCTTGCAGCCAGACAGCTGCCCAGGGTGCCAGGTTCAGGTTCAACGTTTTTTTCCCTCTCTGGGTGCTTCGACCGGGGCCACAAAAGCGGCCAAGCGTCTCCCCCTCCCTTGTGTTTTTCCACCTCATCCCTGCTCGGAGTTCGATCCCCATGGACCGTGGACCGTGGCGGGCAGGGTTTTCGGGAGACGTTCGCGCCGTGCCAGCCACTGACAACAGAGCCGACAGCGACCTCTTCCAACGCCCCGGCAGCGTTGGGCGATGCGCCGTGCACCACCGTCGACCGTCGGCGATACGTATCCCAGCACCGCATGTTGTGCTGGGTCGCTCAGTGTTCTGGGCTGGTCTTCTCCCCACTTGGATGGACCTCTCGCTCTGCCGGTTCTGGGACCAG